TAAATGGAGTACTGAATATCAATATATTTTCTAAATTCTAATTTCTATAAAGTATGCAGATATAAACTAAAGTCTCTAAAATCCATGATAAAGTATCACTGTCACGCTCACAGTACCAATAACGCTGTAACTTGTACATATAGTATTAACACTGACTATTCTTAATCATGATTAACTTCCCAAAGTTAATAGTATCAAAATAAAAATGAAACTTAAAACTGCGAGTTACAACTTACATTATAAATACAGTTTAGTTAGGGTTCAACTGTCTGACTCTGAGACTGAACTGTAAAGTTTATTTTCCATTAATTTTGTACATAGAGGAAAAAACGTTGGAACTACTACACTAGAAAAAAATGTAATATTAAACAAAAATTTACAAAAAACTAAAGTATCGATTTGTTCAAAATAAATATCAGATTTAATACGAATACCCGAAATTACAAACTACACGTCTTACGTCGTACGGTTAATTCACGTTGCCCCGTAGCATGCCGGGACGTAAACAGAACTCACGGTCGATCACACCAATTGCACGTGAACAGTTGGTTTTCATTGGCGTTGAATGTAGCCATGTGACTTTTTTCAATGAAAACATGATTAAGTTGTTACCAGCGCATATTCTAGATTTATAAACGTTAGTGTTAAGTTGTCTTTAATTAGAATGGTTCTTTTAATTTTTTTGGTGAAAATAAGGCTAAGTCCCGTCCACTTAACGATTACAAATTAGTTTATTTCCTCCTTAACCCATAGGCTACTATCACTTTTACATGGTTAGGCTTGGAGGACTAAGTTCAGAAATAACGTTTTCACTTTCAACAGATTTACTCACTAATGGTACTACGACTAACAACTAACAAACAAATAAACTAACTTTATTAGCCATAAACGTTTATGGCTAATAGATCAAGTAACTGAATGTACGCGGCAATTAATACTGATCCTAATACTTCACTGAAACTAAACACTTCATTGAATTAAATACATTCTACCAAGTGAAATTGACTCAATGTTTCACTAATTTTTATATTCATAACGTAGCCTTATTTCTAGGTACTTCGCAAAATTTCTCGTCCACTAATATTCAACCTTTTAGGAATTCTAGAACCACTTTTCTAAAGTTTCTTGAGCTTAAGAGCATGCTCCCTTTTGCTAATATGTAAATTAAAACATTTAAAATATATCTTACAACATTAGTTCCTTTCTAGAATGTGAAGTCCCTTGAAAAATCCTAATTCACAAATAAAAGACAACACCAAATTGTTCACTCACTAAGTCTTTCTAGTGGTTTTCTCTTCCGAGACCCATGTTATACAAAAGGGGTGTTCCCTTGTCGTTATTGGATGTTCTATCAGAGTTCTATTTAGGTAGGTGGTCGAGTGAAACCAATCGTGGTTGTATCCTTGTTGATCATCTGAAAGCAGTCTCAACAGGAACCTTGGGATCCTCAACATATTAAGTCTCTGCTGGCAAATTCTTCTCTGGAGCTACTCACTGACATACTTCCAAATAAAATTATGATGGATGACCTTTGGTTTGAATCGTCTATCCCTTTGGATTCCGCAAACCACATCATTGACTCTTTTCAGTAAACAAAAGACCCCTCCCAGCACCTGCTTAACTTTGGAGTTCATCCTTTTTTGAAGTGAGAATTGTGTAGCCATACCATGTTACCTTGGTGGAATCCCTTCTTATCAGCATTAATATCATAGTGACTTTTCATTTTATTGCTAGCAGATTTAAGTCTTTATCAAGTAAAGTCATGTATAACATTGATGGTGTTCCTTTATTTCTGTACATATTCTGTGTAAGACTCTTCACCAGATAAAAGTACAGAGTGTCCAATGGTTCTTTAAGTATCCTTCCAATCGTAGATGATAATGGCATGTTGCCTGTAGCTTCATTTATTGCTGTATGATAACTTATCACCAGTGGCATGCAGAGGTTCTATAATGCCCGGGGCCTTGTACCTAAGACCTTGGGGAAGGGCAGAAAGGGTTCTACTATTCGATTCGACTCTTTGTGTTGGATGCCCTCCCAATATGGATTTTCTGATGTTCATCCAAATGAATGGCACTTTTGTTAACAGTGTGTAGTTGTATCTCTCCACCATGTAATCAGAAGATGGATGAAGAGCTATTGTCCTGATCTTTCTGATTCTATCCCCGAGTTAAATTCCATTGGCACACCAAATTTTGAAACAAGTTCATTGATGAGTTTCCTTGTTAGAGTTTCTACTTCCTGGTTCTAAACAAAATATGCTTTCTCCATTTTGTGAAATAGTTTATCAAAAGCATTATGTATTTATTCCCACAGTTATCCTGTGGCAGCAAATCACTCAAACAGTGTTCCAACACAATACTGCTGTAGCTTCCATGATGTTTCTTTCACATCTTTTGAATCAGTTATCTACAGATCCATAGTACCTAGCCCAATAAAAGCATTCTCTTACTTGCTCAAAATGTTTTCCTAACGTCTAAGTGTCCATCCATTGGAAGATTTTGGAGATAATGGAGCTTCAGAATGTAAAGACTGTAAAAGTATTAACAGTAGTCATCGTTTCTGTCCACTTGCAACTTCTCATTTCTAATGTAACAAACCTGCTGTGCTACATACATTTTTGTCTTCGGGCTTTACTGATCAACTATCTGATATGAGGGTCTTTCTGCTTTTTTATAAATCCGTTGAATAATTGGTTTCAAACTTGTATCTTTTGCCTGAAGATCTTTCAGTTGAGCATTCAACCACACTAGTCCTTTTTGTAGATATCATATCTTGTATTATATTCTGCTGTATATTAGGTTGGTAGTTTCCATTGTCTTATGCTTTCCCCTTTTCACAGTGTTTACATCCTTCATCAACACATGATCTTCAGTATAATGTGCAAACATTTCCATGATTCCATTCAGTGCAATGCCCATTTTTAAAGTTGTATGCCTGGAAATTTTGAAGCCATTTTGTATCTGACCTTTTGTATTGTGAAATTTCATCAGCCATTTAAATGTTGTACGATATCTCCAAAGTGTAAACTTTTTTTCCATGTACTTAATGTTGGAAATGACTTAGGGTTTGAATAATACTTAGTAGCTCTTTTTGAGTTATACAATGCGATACAAAACGTCACGTCACTGGGCATCCTGGAGTAGCTTAGATGTTTCATAATTTGACGAGGAATCCATGACTGACCAGGGAAAGAAAAAGAGGTCAAAGTTCAAAGTGAGAGACTAAGTTGGGCTGGAACTTGACCTTAAATGCTGAAAGTCTGGATTTAAATGCAAAAACTGACTGAGTTTTAATCAGTCAAAAGCTCAGCCGAGTAGGTACTGTTAAGAAAAGTCATAACACTTGGTCACAACTGTGAATTAAGTACTGGTCAAGTGAATTCGTGATCTTCTAGATTCTCAAGGTTTTCATTCAACTAGCTAACTGTGGCTGTGCTGCCTTTATTGCCCCTGCAAGACAAAGGGAACATAAATGCCTAACTTTCTTACCCAAACACAGCCCTATTCTACTATTTGGTTGTCATGTTGATAGAGCTCTGTTCCAGTAGAAAAGAATGGGGGGTTTGAGACAGCCTGGATTTTACATAGTTGAGCTGACTCAGTTTAGAGATGGCTAATCTCACATTTGACCATTAACCTTTGGCAACACTGTCATTGTCTTTCCTTGGGGACTTTTTACCAATTACAATTCGTGCAACAGTTATGTCACAAATTACAAGTTTCAACATGTGATTGGTACTTTCTGTCTTCCCCTATTACGCTTACAACCACTAATTTAATGATTCAGACAGTAGTTTCTAATAACATAACGTTCAAAAATATTCAGTCAAATTGTTAGTTATTTAGAATATTTCCAATTTGCATGACTGAAACATTTCTGTCACAAACAAGTATAATGCTGGGTACAGCACGTGTATATATTTGTTATGACATCTAAACCATTACTTGTGAATTTTATGTACTACTGACAATTTCACCTACTCAGTAATATTTTAACTCCAAAAGTTAAAACGTCCTTGCACTATGCTTTTGTGAAACACCAGGTAAAGCTGTGTTCTTTAAAACTGAGGTAAAATTGTTTTACCTTTCTCTCGATCGCCTCCCCAGTGGCAAAACAGTAAGACTGAAGGTTTATATTGCTTAAAACCAGGTTTTGATAACAGTGGTGGGCAGATCACAGATAGCCCATTGTGTAGCTTTGTGCTTAATACAGTGGGGCATCCTCTGATACGGGGGATACGTTCTTCGAGCAAGCCATGTTGGGCAAATCCTTATGCGATTAATAGGGAAACTGAAACACAGCCACATTAAGTCTCCAATAAATGCTTATATATGATTTTTTTACACGTAAATGAAAAGCCCTCCATATACAGTATTGTATATAAACAAAAATATAAAATCATAAACATAATAACATTCACATGTGATATCCTGCACCTGTAAATGAAAATATGTCAAATGAAATAAATCAATACTGTGTTTTATTGTTACATTCACCTATGAATGATGAAGATGAAGACCGTTTGTTGATTAGAGGAAGGCTTGCGATGATAATGATGATAGATTTGGAGGCTGAGAGGTTAGTGTAAGGGCGATAGATCATCGGAAAAATCGGCCTCAAACTCCAATGAAGCAGATGTAGAAGTCGATGGGAAGGGATCAGAAGGCGTTACATCAGCTGACTTGGGCTTCATAAAATCAGTAATTTTAGGCTGTTTGGCTTTCTTCCGCAAATCTTTCAAGATTTCTCTCTAGGGCGCTAGAACGTCATTAAATCCTCTTTTAAATTGAACGTTTTTCTCCATTATGGGATCCATGTCTATAGCCATTTCTGCGAGCTCATCTGCCTTGCATAGGAAATCAGACATAGCTTTTGCTGTGAGGATGGGTTCAGCAGGTTCTGTCTCTCCAGTATGTTCATCACTATCACTGTCACTGGAGGCTATTAGAGCAAGAGCTGAGATGTTAGTTTTCAACATAAGAATTCAGAGTAATTTACAACAATTAGCTTTTACTATAGGAAGTAGTAGAACTGAGTTCGCTAACTTAGTACAAGTACTTTACATAGCTGAAGATAGAAAATTAAGTTCATACTTTATGCCCTCGAGAAAATTAGAAAGACTGTTATATGAAATTGAAATGAGATTACACCACACTTACAGTTTGTGATCCCCAGACATAGCAATCAGATCTATATGTATTATACATGGACTGATGTAAAGACAGCTGCAATAAGGGATACCTTGAGAATGTTTAAATTATACAGAATTGTACCCTTACTGTTGGCACTGAACAACTCTCTAGCATTAACTATAGAGAGTGAAAACCCGTATATTGCTGTTTTAAGTGATCAGCACACATACTTAGAACTGACAGAAGAAGACATGTTAAGATGTATAGAGGGACCCATTTGAGTATGTGACACTAACTCAGGAATTTTTTCAGTACTCA